TGGTCCGGCGGACCACGCATGGTCAGCTCCGGACCAAGACCCTTCTTGGTCAGCTCAGTCCGACTCATCTTTTCTCGGTCCGTCTGACCCACTGTCTGGTCAGCGGCTGACCAACTCTTGGTCAGCCGGACCAGGCCTGGAAGATGACCTCGGACCAAGCTTCCGGACCTCCTGGACTGACCAAACTTGGTCCGGGGCTGACCAAACTTGGTCAGCTCCGGACCAACGCACTGAAAACCTCTTTTCATGCTCGTTTCGGTCAAATCTCGTTTCCATTCTTCGGATTCTTCACGTATAAGTCCATCCCTAGTGGTGTGTGACCCTGTAGGCCCATTCTAAGTGGTAGTGACTTTAGAAACCTTTCCCGAACCACAAGTCATGGTTAGCCTCTAGCAAGACGCCATGACCACCCATTTAGAATTGAGTTAGAGGTGATCTAACCAAGGCATTAACAGCTCGAATTCTGATCCTTTGTCTCACGATATCATAAGTTGAACAAGGGCATGGTTTGAGTCACCCTTCAAGTTCAACTGCTTTCTCGTCTTGGCAAATCGACTAGTAAAATAGATGCAACTTCATCTATAGCGTGGCCACGCGTTTTCATAGTCCGATTTCCACGAGAGGGCCCAGCGATATCTCTCCTGTTAAAGAGGTGACAAGTCCCATATTGCATGTCTACTATCTCCATATGATTCGTGAACGTATATGATCAACGCCGTTATAATCATCCGGTTAAAGACGACGTTTGACGCAGTCAAGACACGCCACTCCTCATATCAGATACTCTAGACATCTCAGGTAGGAGGATCCATAAACGAACCGCTGTATGAAATTCAAGTCATGACTCTGTCCATGTGACAATCTCATGCGGGTCAACCAGTCACTCATTCACAACGAGTACCCATGATTGTGATCTACATCCAACGCGTTGATCACACCTCATGCTAGTCTTGATTCAACATTGTTCCCACAATGATGACTGACTAGGGAGTTTAGAATCATTCTCTAATGATTCAAGGATGTCGAAATACAACAAACATGCTAATCGTATAACAGATAAATAATGCATTCATAAATCAATGAATCAATACAAAGTAAAATGTCATATCATGGATCATCCTAGAGCATTACAACCAACACTTCAAAGTGTGGGGATGTCTAGCAAAGGTCCAGGTTCCTTTCCCTAAAAGGGTTAAAATAGGACCGAAAACAATAGATTGTGTTTTCATAGGTTATGCTACAAAAAGTAAAGCATACAGATTTTTGGTTCACAAATTTGAAATTCCGATATTCAAAAGAATACGGTGATTGAGTCAGATAATGCTGAATTCTTTGAAACGATCTTCCCGTATAAAAGAGAATGTGAATCAATTAATAAAAGAACCAAATAAAATCGGGAAGTGAATACAGAGGATACACAAAATGAGATAGAACCTAGACGTAATACACGTCAAAGGACTGCTACCTCATTTGGTCTAGACTTTCTAACATTTATGTTGGAAAATGAGCCTCAAACATATAAAGAAGCTGTGACTTCTCCAGAAGTTCAATACTGGAAAGAGGCTGTCAATAGTGAAATTGAATCCATATTGAGCAACCATACGTGGGAGTTGGTTGATCTTCCTCCAGAGAACAAACCGTTAGATTCCAAATGGATTTTTAAAAGAAAATTGAAAGATGATGGTACTATTGACAAGTACAAGGCAAGACTAGTTGTGAAAGGTTTTCGACAACGAGAAGGTCTTGACTATTTTGATACATATTCGCCAGTCTCAAAAATTATATCCATTCGGGTGTTAATTGCTTTGGCTGCCGTCTATGAATTGCAAATCCATCAAATAGACGTTAAAACAGCCTTCCTAATGGAGATTTAGAGGAAGAAATCTATATGGAACAACCTGAAGGGTTTGTAGTTCCGGGAAAAGAAGGTAAGGTGTGTCGACTTGTTAAGTCTTTGTATGGACTTAAACAAGCACCAAAGCAATGGCATGCTAAGTTTGACAATATAATGTTGACAAACGGGTTTAAGATTAATGAGAGTGATAAATGTATCTACATTAAGAATACTCCTAATCTAATTGTCATTGTGTGTTTATACGTGGATGATATGTTGATAATGAGTAATGACATTTCAACTATAAACGATACAAAGCGCATGCTATCCACAAGATTTGACATGAAAGATTTAGGAGTTGCTGATTTAATTCTTGGAATTAAAATCATTCAAACTCCTGAAGGTCTTGCGTTATCTCAATCTCATTACATTGAGAAAGTACTTGAGAAGTTTAAATACTTGGACTTCAACGTCGCAAGAACTCCAATTGATGTGAACCTTGTTCTTGCAAAGAACAAGGGTAAAAGCGAGTCTCAATTGGACTATGCAAGAGTTCTAGGAAGCTTGACGTATATCGCAAACTGTACTCGACTAGATATTGCTTGTGCAATATGTAAACTCAGTTGATATACAAGTAATCCAGATTCTAGTCATTGGATTGCAATGAAACGTGTTTTGGAGTATTTAAAACATACTCAAAATTACGTATTACATTACTCCAAATATCCAACTGTGCTTGAAGGATATTGTGATGCAAATTGGATTACTGGGTCAAGTGAAACAAAATCCACGAGTGGATATGTCTTCACGATTGGAGGAGGAACTGTGTCTTGGAAATCATCAAAACAGACATGTATCGCTCGCTCTACAATGGAAAGTGAATTCATAGCTTTGGATAAACTGGTGAAGAAGCTGAATGACTTAGAAATTTCTTGGAAGATATTCTGTATTGACCCAAACCATTGACACCTATATGCATACACTGCGATAATCTCGCTGCAATAGGAAGGACAAGAAGTGTGATGTACAACGGAAAGTCTCATCACATTAGACGTAGACATATTACTGTTAGATAACTAATCTCAAGTGGTATTATCATTGTTGACTACGTGAAGTCAGAGGATAATGTAGCTGATCCACTTACAAAAGGTCTTTGTAGAGATTTAGTTGAAAAATCATCCAAGGGAATGGGTTTATGGCCAAGGACAAGTTAGTATGGTGGTAACTCTACCTAGCAGACTGGAGATCCCAAGAACTAGGTTCAAAGAGAATATAAAGTCGTAACTAACGGTTCAACATTGTCAAATATAATCCAACTCATTGTCATGATGAGACAATGTTCTATGAAAAAAGGTAAATTATACGGCTTTAAGTTAGAAGACTTAAAAGCTAAGAAATTTTTAATGGTTCCTAAATTTGACATGGTCAAATAGTGTATCTTTAGAGATGACACGCTTAGAAAACCACCTATGTGAAAGTGAAGTGTGGGCCGCTTCAAGGAGAATAATGGTTGACTAGTTTTCTATGCTTTCATGAAACCAGACAGGTGTTCATGGCTGAAACGAACACAACAGTGAGAACCAAAGACGGTTAAGAATTAATCGTGTGGTTTAGATTGTCTTGGTATACATAAAAAAACCGACGGTTCAAAGATATCGCATCTACCGATTGGTGAGTATATCCGATTTAAATCCACTATGGAAAGTTCAAAGGAAAACCTACTTATCCAGATGCGATTAATTTTTCATAGGCTAATCACAAAGGTTGCATGGTTTTAAAGAGTTTTCTAAAATTCTCCATTCATGTGGGGGATTGTTGGAGTTTTTTTTAATAAATGAATGGAGATATTTTTGTATGTTATAATTCTCCACATTTATATTTTTAAAAACTTAAAAAATGTATTTATGATTTTTGGAAGTTTTACAATTTTCCAATCCTATAAATAGGAGACTTTCTTTTCATTTTTCTACACAACAAGAACACCAAGAAAACACAAAAGCTTTCTACAAAAGAAAAAAAAACATCTTTTTCTCTTTGTGATTCAAGCCGTTCTTTGAGTTCGATAAGGCACCGGAGTTTGTAGTACCACTGTTCCGGTGAAGTACGTATGTCCTATCCTGGGAGGATATATACCATTAACCGTAGGTACCGCGCGGAGAATAATTTTCTTAAGGAGACACGGTTCGCCGTGGGTTCGGATTTGGTTTTTCGGTTTTAAAAATTAATCATATAGATTTAATGATATTGGTTTGATCATAACTTTATGTACTGTTATCGGAATTGTATGTTCTTGATATCGTTTCGTAGATATCGAAATTATTTTTCTAATGGTGTATAGTATGCATGATTTGGTTGTATATTCTGAAAGTTATTAAACTCGAAAGTCTTGGTATGAAATTGAAAGTTAACCATGCATGAATATGAGACATATAAAGTAACACACCCAACATGTGCTTTGTCAAAGATGTTCTGAAACGTACCATCATCTATTTTTTGAGTGTGAGTTTAGCTCAAGGATTTGGTTGACATTAGAGAGCTTGATATGGCCTTCCCGCCGTTGAGTGTGTTCCCATGCAGGGAGTGGATGAAGAACCGGACAAATGACATGAGTCGCAGCAAGGTCCTCCTAGGCCGGTTGATACTACAGATTACAGTCTACAAAATCTGGAAGAAACGAAATACTAGAATTTTCAGGTGTGAGCGGATGCCGATTGATGTGAGTCCAGACTCGAATTGACAGGGTCTTGCGCAACATTCAGATTTCCATCACGAAAGTGTCTAAAGGAAGTAGACATTCCTTGCTGGAAGATTGGTTTTTCTTGTCGGAAAGCATCCGAACACACTTGGTCCAGAACCACGCACACCACATTCTCATTTTGCTGTTTTTTTATATGGTATCCTATCTTGTACAGATTATGCTGGGTTGTTTTTCGTTTCCCTTTCGGTTACGAACTTGTAATTAATAGATAAATTCACCTTATACCTAGAAAAAAAAAATTTGCGACTCAAAGGTGGTATTTAAGAGGTTTGCCCCATTCTCGGGCCATGCTACGGTACGGATACCAACACGCGACGCGAGATCAGGACGCGACTTTATTTCTCTTTGGACGACTCAGATTCATTGAATCATCCTTCATCGAAATATAACCATGACCGTACACGTGGCCTTTTATCGATCGCCACCGTCCATATAGTCCTTATAAAACTCTGTCGCCTCCGCATACTCTAGGGTTTCTCAGATTTCCTCCGGCTGCCGTTTCGCTTGAGGTAAGTCTCCTTCCGACAGAGGTCCGATGAGCTGATTCTGTGTTAATATTAGATTCTTCTCCCCCATTTTCCTGTTCGTCGATCTATGCTCTTGTATATACTTTCCGAGTGTAGGTTTAACCGGGAAAATCTGTGATTTTCTGTACTTTTTGTGGTACTTTTGCTCGAATTGTTTTTCGCGGCATAAATTCCTCTTTGGATCACTAATCTGAGCGGAAGTATGACTGTGACGATACGTACACACTCTTCGTCTTGTGTTACAAGGAATATCTAAGTCATTGGTATTGTTTTGTACTTGTGTTGCCTCGCTTGTTTTTCATTCCGAATTTATCTCTGGATATTTATGCTATTATTTGGTTTCGTTCGTGTCTGGTGTTGGATTCCTTTTTGTTAGAGATAGTGTTGATAGTGCTACTGAAGATGATGCTCAATGTTTGAACTTTTCTTTGTTTTCAGAGCCTAAGCTTGCGAATTTGCATCTGAGAAAGATGTTCTCCGCACAGAATAAGATTCACAAAGATAATGGTGCTGAGCTCACCGAGCTCGATGAGCAAGTTGCTCAGGTTGGTCTATTCATTACCCATCCTGCTTAATGTGTGAAGTTTTAGGTTTCTGAAAGATGAGTTCTCTTTGTTCTTGTAGGCTTTCTTTGATTTAGAGAACACAAACCAAGAGTTGAAAAGTGAATTGAAAGATTTGTACATCAACTCAGCGGCGTGAGTACAGTTTTATATCTGTTCTGGGGGAGATTGGATGGTTTTCTTCTCTTGTCTTGGACCATGGTTATCAAATCAAACTAAATCTTGCATTTATCTCATGTGGGCAGTCAAGTCGATGTGTCTGGAGGACGCAAGGCCGTTGTTATCAATGTCCCATACAGATTGAGAAAAGCATACAGGAAGATCCATGTCAGACTTGTTCGGGAACTTGAGAAGAAGTTCAGCGGAAAGGTGAATGAAACACTCTATATGCTCTGACTCTCGCTTTCTTGTTCCCCCTCACTGCCATTTGTATCCTGACCTGTTGATGTGGCTTTTGACCATGGTTAAGGTTGGAAATTGTTAATGCATCATTTTGGGTGAATGAATGATTTGGCATTAACTCATTAAATCTTGTTTTACAACTAATGCATCATTGATTTGTCTGATGCTGATGTTTTATATTAATGTGCATAATGGAATCATGGAATGCACATTCAACCTCACTTATGTGTACTGACCTTATTGTGCTCGGGGCATAATAATATAGGATGTGATTCTAATAGCCACAAGAAGGATCCTGAGGCCTCCTAAGAAGGGTTCTGCTATCAAGAGGCCACGCAGCCGTACCCTGACCACTGTCCATGAAGCCATCCTCGATGATGTCGTTTTACCTGCTGAGATTGTTGGGAAACGTGTGAGGTACAGACTCGACGGCTCCAAGATCATGAAGGTATAAATAAAAACCTTTTTCTATACTAAGATGATCAAAACTAGTGGTGGTGGCCATTATGTGTTTTGGTTCGGGTATATTCGAGTTCGGTTATTTTGGATTTAGAGAAACTATAACTATTCGATTATCTTGTGGAATCCTGTTCTGTTTCGGTTCGAATTTGGTTTTTATTAAGAAAAATGCTCGTTTTTCAAAGAAATTTTTCGGGGGTTTTTAAGAAGAAATCATAACTAATATCAGATAGGGTTATATATTATTCGGTTCGGGTATTCGGGTAGCAAGCGAATTGGCATCCCCTAAATAATCAAAATGATGGTGAGAATATGGAGTCTGAGTAGAAGGAAATTGTATGTGAAGGTGTTTCTGGATCCGAAGGAAAGGAACAACACAGAGTACAAGCTGGAGGCTTTCTCTGCTGTATACAAGAAGCTGACGGGCAAAGACGTCGTCTTTGATTTCCCCATCACCGATGCCTAAACAGAGGGGAGAGGTTAGGTCGAGCTTTGTAATGCATCGTCAGGACATTTTGGTATATCTCTAGGGGGTGTTGGAACATGTTTTTCTATCTTCAAGTTTTGTCAGTCTGTTTGGGCAAAATGAAAGAACCTTAATAACTTAAATTATGTTCTCTCCTTCACGTCGGGTTGTTGTTAGCTTTGTTTTGGAGTATCATGTTATATTTGATGCTTTTTTTTTGGGGTCATATTTAACAATTTTCATCCCCAACAAAAAAAAAATCCTTTTGTTTGATTATTCTGTGACCTATAGTTTGTTGTTGTCTAAGTTAATCTCGTGTAATTTTCAACGTTACATGATATTACTGTTATTATTGTTATTAAAAAAGTTAATATTAGGGATGAATAGTGTCAATTTATATGTTCATTAGGGGTGTATATGGACTTTTTAAATGAAGTTAATCAAATAATTAGTGGTTAACGTAACGATATTAAGTTAAATTAATGAAAATGTTAAAACGAATATTTTTAAAAATGAAGTTTTTTTAATAAATATCATTCTGAATGAATTCTGTATAAGTATATATATGAACAATTTTATTTAAAAATATAAAAAATGAATAAAAAAAATATGGTATAAAGTGATGGACACTCATGTGATAATCAGATGGTCTAAACGTGTAGGAAGAGTGTGAAACCAATACATAAATCTTAGGTAAAAAAGAAATGTAGCTTTATTGCTAGTTCCATTCACTTTTATTTTTCTACTTTAAATTATGATTGTTATTTTTATTTACATTTAAAAATATTAATAAATTAATAGAGCTTGTTTAAAGGCAAGGTGCGTCTCCTCCCCACCAAACCATAAACGCCATATACAAATTTACATATTTACCCTCACGCGAGTAGTCAAAATTACTATTTGGTTTCATTTTCGTGCCCCTTCGCCATTATCGCGTCGCGCTCATTGACATTACCTTGCGTCGGCTTCGCCATTGACGACCCGTCAACGAGAGATCTAGGGCTCTGAGATCTCGCTTCTTCTCTGCAAAAGAGCATGCTCTTTGGTCGGTGACGAAAATTATTACGGAAGAAGGAAGGAGAATCCTCCCCTCTTGTCGGCGGAACCATGGGTTCGTCTTTGGAGATCATCGACATCTCCGCCAGTGCGCGGAGGATAATCGTGGATAATCGAATTTCTCTTAGATTCTACTTCAGGATTGCCGACAATATCCTCAAACAGGTTCTGAATTCTGTATTTGAATTTGATTTTGATCGTAGTTGCTCTACTGAGCTGTCTTGTTTGAGGATTTTTGCCCTAATTCTAGTGATTGATGATCGTCCGCTCGTTTAGCTTTTGGCGATTCTTCTTACATTCAATTTTTCAGTTGTGAAGTTAATCATTGTCTACCCAGAGTTGTGGTTTACTTTCTATGTAATAGCATTCAAGGAGAATTTCCACATTTCTCGTTTTGGCACTTTGGTTTGACTGGGCTTTTGAAGTTCCTTGACGCATTTTTGGTCCATTTTCCTCCGAAGACGCTCTCTTTTCTTTTGATTGCTTCTCTGAAGTTTGTTTTGTGTTGCAGTTAACATTGGAGTGGTAATTCCTGCATTGGCGTGTGTTTTACTTTCTTCATGTTGTACTTTGGATGGTTTCTGTGATTTTAGTTGCATCTTAAGGCTCTGTGTGAGTTGTCGGGTCGTAGGCACGCATGTGATAAAAAGGAAATTCATGCCAGTTAGTGTTGGTCCTTGGACTTGCTCGTATAATACTGCGTTTGCTGAGAGTTGTTGGTAGGTCACATCGTTCGTCATGGTTACTCAGCTGTATCTTGATATAAGCTTTGGTTCTTTCTTTCTATCCTCTAACTCGATTGTGGGCGGTCGCTTTTGTTTCCTCTGAAACGATGGCTTTTCTATGATTCTCTTGTTTTGTACAGGATTTCTTCACCTGTTAATTATGCATGATTCTTTGTAGGCCAACATATTTCGAGCAGAGAAGAATATTGTAGATCTATATGTCATGCTTCTTCGGTTTTCGAGGTGAGAAAAAGATTACAGAATCTCTGCAGAGATTTTAGTTTCCTATTATTTTTTTCCTGAGGTCCTAACCATACTTTTCTTTTCTCTAGTTTGGCTCTTGAGACAATACCATCACATCAAGATTACAGGACTGCCCCTACATATAACAAAGAGTTTTTGAAAATGGTAATGGTTATTTCCATGTATGGTCTCTTACGACTTGCCTTTCTATCAGTATGAGTTTGATGTGAGATATAGTCACCAATTCTTATTTTAGAGGTTATTGGATGTCTTGACCGAGCTGGAGAAGTTGAAACCAGTTGTACAGCAAAGGATAAATGAACTAAATGCCAAAATGATGCCGCGACTTAATTCACTAGCTCATCATCATGTAAATGGTTCCCCAGGCTGGTCTTCGGTTAGCAAGCCATCATTGAGTAGCTATAACCAGACAAAGGTGCGGTTGCTGCTTCATCTTATTACTTCTATGGCATGCATTTCTTGACTTCTGGATGGTTTCATTTGTTAAGTTTTTGGTTTCACGGAGAAACACGTGGTGCACTAAATTTGATTCTCAGCTACATTAGATAAACATTTCCTTTCTTTTATGTTTCTCTTATTTCCGATAGGTAGTAAATCCTACTGGACATAATTTTGGCTACATGGGTCCCAGGGGTCATCAATTTGTGAATAGTCCGCCCCTTGAAGACCATTTCCGGAAGATGTGAGTCTTTGATTCAAAAGCTCATACATAAACTCTTCCCCTACTGTATGATTGACTCTATTTTAAATTTGTCTGGTGTGGTCCTGACTGATGCGTTTCTAACTGTTTGACTCCTAGGTCAGTGAACTTCATTCGCCCAAAAGAAGAAACTCTTTCAAAGCATTCTATTTTCGGTCCAAATGGACTCCGTGCACAGTGGCAGCCCCCAAAGAATGACATAAAGGTGTCTTATCTTGCTTTCTTTTATCCAATGCTTCATAAATAGTATAAGCTTATGATTTTTGTCCGAATGTCCCAGGTTCAATATCCAAGCAATATAGATTTGACACCGATTGAAATTCCAAGGTGAGACAATCTAGCTGATACTGAAACAAAAATGCTTATTCTTATTCTGCATTTAAGGACATTTATTTTCCTTTCATCTTAGCCATTTGACAATCTCACGCCCTTGTCATTACTTTGCCTCTTGATCTGGATACAGTTTCCAGCTACATGTGGATAGTGACTCAACGATACAAAGCAAGGGCAGTAACCATGAACCGGAGAAGTCTGGGGTGGAATCGGTGGATTGTGACTCAAGTGCTACTCTAAGCGAAAATATCGAGAAAAGCCATGCTCAGGAGATTTCTGCTATGATTTCCTTTGACGAACCCGAAATTGTTGCTGATAACAATATTATTAGGCAACCCTCACCACCTCCCATACTTGCAGAAGTTCAAGACTTGGCTCCTGCTTTATGCCCCCAAGGTGCAGAAGTTGAAGTTGAGTGTAAGATAGAGAATCCCCTCCCTGGTGACTCTATTCAGCCTAATTCTCCTCTTGAACTCCATATCGTAAGTTTACCTTTCATTCGCCATTCTTTATGTTTGTTCTTACAGCAGTACAATATATCTCCTTTAATCATACAAGTGAAAAAAAAATCGAATGTAGGTCATATCAATTGCTCACGTGTTCTGATTGACTGCTTTGTTGTACTAATTATCTTGTTCTATCGATTCATGCTGTGGTATTCGTTTTTGGATATGGGGTGTCACATTTTCTGGAGAAAAATAAGATGGAAATGGGCAGTCTGAATCGTTTTTCTTATAGGTTCAGTTGTATCGTCTTTCATATTTCGGCAATTACTTCCATTTTTGCAGTCAACAACAATGATGGACACCTTTATGAGGCTTGCCAAATCAAACACGGTCAAGAATTTAGAGACGTGTGGTGTACTTGCCGGTTCACTTGTGAGTTCTGTTGTGCATATGGGATCCTATTTCCAAGCGTTACATGGCATTGACATTATCATCGCTGACATGATATGTGAATCACTTATGTGCAGAAAGACAGAAAATTTCATGTTACAGCCCTCATCATACCAAAGCAGGAATCAACATCTAACACGGTAAGCTTACTCTTGTTTTGGTTTTGAAACTCTGACTTAACTCGTGTATCTTAATTTGTCAGATTTCCAAGGCCCAATCTTAAATCTCTCTCTCTCTCTCTCCCCCTCTCTCTCTCTCTCTCTGTGTGCAGTGTCAAACTACGAATGAGGAGGAAATTTTTGAAGTGCAGGATAAGCAATCTCTTTTCCCACTTGGATGGATTCATGTAAGTATTTATATGCAATTCGACATCTGATTTCGAATCGCAATTTGTAACTTGGTTTTAGCAAGTTCACTCTGGAAGATTCCCGCTGATTTTTAATTACCTTTATTCTTGCGTCATATTCATATCCTTGAGAGAGATCAATCTCCTTTTCTTTTATTTTTTCTCAGTTTATTGTTTGCCTAAATATCTTTATCGGGTTTTGACTTTGTCTCCGATTTTCAGACGCATCCTACACAGTCGTGTTTCATGTCATCTGTCGATCTTCACACCCACTATTCATATCAGGTACCCATCTTATCTTCATGCAACAAATTGCTTCGTCATCTCGAAGAATTCTGCATTCCATACTTTTGAGATGAAATATACATATCCATTAGGTGCCAGCACATTATATGATATATACAAATACTAAAGGTGCCTAGTACTGATGATTGGAAAAATCTCTATGACATTCAAAAAACTACCCTTTTCGATCTACCCTCTGCGTCGTTTTCACAGACTTGTGTATATTTCTATAACAAAATTTCTTCGGGTTTTATCACAATTGTATATGTTTTCTTAGTCCTCTGTAATTTGCTGAGTTACTCCTTACTTCGTCTAATAACTCTTTTATTTTTTTGTCATTATTGCATTTGTTCAGATTATGTTACCGGAATCAGTGGCAATCGTTATGGCCCCAACAGACACAACAAGGTACGAAATCCACAACTCCAAAGTCCCGGTTTTGGCAGACAAAAAAAAATCAATAAATGGATTTCAGTAAGAGAAAAAAGGTACAGTATTCATAATAAAAGAATGTTTTTTTTTATTACAAAAAAAAAAGGAAGCATGGAATATTCAGGCTGACGACGCCGGGAGGGATGAGGGTGATAAGGAAGTGCGAGCAAAGAGGGTTTCACCCTCACGATCCGCCCGAGGAAGGAGGCCCTATCTACTCTTCTTGCTCTGATGTCTATCTCAACCCTTCTCTCCAGTTCGATGTCATTGATCTCCGGTAATCGATTCCCCCCCTTTCTAAACCCTACAATCAATACAGGCTGAAAACTTTATAAATGCATTTGGATTGGATCTTGATTGATTTGATCCTTTTCTGCCTTGATTGCCGTCAGCAAGACTGTGCGCGCTTTCTCTGTATATTTTTTGGATCCAAAAAACAAAATGCCTGTCATAATGTGTATGTCATCTCGGTTCTATCCTTATTTGGTTTTGGATTTTCTCTAGGGTAGATAAATTTAGGTGGTGGGTATCATTATTGTCAAATGTTTTTTATCATGTATGGATTAGGTGAGGGTGAACTGAATATATATAGTAGTTATAAACGAACAAGTTCCATGAGACCAACATGTTATATTCTAGTTTGAAAAATATATCATGATAAGTTTACCCAAAAAAAGATATTCGTACTAAATATATTTGAAAACTTTTATATATTTATGTATGTAGAACGTGATACGGTATTTGAAAACCCTCTCATAATTTTATATATTATTCTGTTATATATAATTGGATCCTTTAAAATACTTATTTGGGCTTCCGAGCCTTATCTATTCCAGCCTTCTGGGCCCTTTTTCCTATTCTATATCAAATTCTATAATTGGATTAAAAAAATACATTTCCAAACTGTCTTTTCTTTTTAGACATAACTGAGGAAAAGTTCTGAAATAAACAGGTATTAATTTATAAAATTTAAAACAAAAGTAAAAACTTTTTTTAAACGTTTGATTGAACAGGCTGAAAAAGAAAACATAGTTGTGCGAGGGAGAGAGAAAATGGAGGGCATGTCCGAATACCGATACACAAAACGAAGATAAAATGATTCCAATGTGAGAAGATTTATTTAGTCAAACTTGGCATTCGAATAACCCTTTGAATTACCACAACAAAACGGAACGCACATTTATGTTGGGTCGACTTTCATTCCGATCAAAGACAATATCTTATTTGAACAAGAAATCAGCTTTAATTCTTAAATAATGCCCCAACAGTTTATGCTTAAGATCAAAGACTTCTTCCTATGACATCAATATGATCCATTTCTTGTTCAAATAAGACAAAAGGGTCTTCTCCATTGCCTAAATTACATGAAAACTCTATTAGTAGACATTAGATGGATAAACAAAACCAAGTGTTTGTATGATCCATGAAAAGGGTCGTCTCCATGTAAAGCCAAATCCTACATTTTGGTTAGGTAGACATTTCGGTTAGGTTAACCAAAATCAAACCCAACAACACATATCCATATCTAAAATAAAATCTGATATAAAAACCAAATGAGAATCTAAAATGCGAAAAATCTTTATATAAAAACCGAATGAAAATAGTTTTTCTAAAACCGAAAAACGGAATCCTAATATAACCAGAAATGCCACCCATCCCTTAGTTCTTCTTCTTCTTCTTCTGATCTCTTGAATGGCGTAGAATGGATCCTAACCCGAACGGAGATGGAACACCGATCACTGGACTTACCCGAAAGCTTCCTCCACCGCCGTTTCCTCCCTTCTTCCCCGCAAGCTTATGAGGTCTGAATTGGTAAGCACTGCAACAAAGAGAGGAAGGAGAAGAAGGTACTTGAGGAGATGACGGATTTGCCCCTTGACCCGAGATCCCGTGCCTCTGCGAGCTGTGCTTGTTGACGTCCCTAAGCATCGCCCTTTTGGAATTAGTCACCGACCCTGTTGAGTTGCTTCTCGTGAGCCGTGGAAACGAGCAGATCAAGCTTCTTTTTATGTCGCAGTTGAGGCTCGCACTTCTCTTGAAGCTCCAGAATGACTTTGCCGACTTCTCTGCCTCTGAATCCCAGTTTTCACCGCTGCCATTGCCGCCCATCATTTCCTTCTCCCCAAATTTTCTCGGGTTTTCGGGTAACGGTGGCGGTGGAGGACATGGGGCATGGGAGCGGGCGGAGATAATGGGTGGGAGTTCATACTTGTAGAGACGTTTCGGGACTGTGGCGGCTGCGGTTACTTGGAACGGAATAGGGAGGATCATGCCATTGGCGAAGATTTCATCCGCTGGAGAAGATTCTTGATCCAAGTTTCTGGAAATGTGGAACTCGAAGTCGGAGTTTGATGAATCCAAAAGAGATGTGTCACGCCGGACAGGGGTTGACGGTTCCACGGGTGTGATTTCGGATTGCCCGAGATCGCTGGAGAATGAAATCCGCTGGTGGTTTGATTCAGCACAGATCATGATCACAAAGCTGAAGTATAGCTGTTGATCGTAATAGATGACAACAAAGAGGATGGTTAAGCTTTTCATAACATGTATGTGAGTAGGAAAATAGTGTAGAATACGAAGTTATTTTTGAAACGGAAAACTCATAAATATTCTGACAAAACTTTCAGTCAAATTATCAAAGATTTGCATTCCGGAAAAATGGTGAAAGAAACCCAATCCGTTGTCCCCAACATCTGATCAAGAACGCAGGTTGCGCACAAAAGCAGCATCAGGAATGTGTTTCCATCGTTATCTAGACGCAAAAACAGGAATGATGTTCCCATTCATGCTTTTAAGACGCTAATGAACTGATGATAGGTGACAAAGACTATCACAAAAGAAGCATGTGAAATTACACAACTTACCTGTGGGGAAATAGAAGACAGGACTACGACCTTTTGCGAAATCTGCAGAGAGCAAAAATACCAATATATAGCAATCAATGATCAAAACCGAGACTTGTGTGCAGAAAAAACTGTATACAATTCAGATCAAGTGACGGGAATAGATTTCCATGAGAGGGTTTGACAAGGAAGACGATGAAGTAAGAAGGCTGATAGGATCATAGGCTTTGAAACGTGGGATAAATTCAATAATTGGTTCACAGAGTTTGGAATTTTCAAATAAAATAAAAGAAGGGTTCAACGGTCTAAAGATGTGGTAAGCCACTACTAGAGGGGGCAATGCTGCTAGATTCATATATATATATATAGATATATATTTATATATACATATATAAAAGGAGATTTCAAGTGAGGGAATAAAAGTGTAATCTATAATAGGCATCAAAGGGTACTTTACCTGATATCTGCGGCCTCGCGCGCTGGAGGTCGGCAAGGCAAGGCATTGTATGTGGTTCAGTGTTAAGCCTTCTTAGCCCGATCATGGCTTCCGATGGATAAAGACGTTCTTCTATCATCATGGTTGTTACTAAGTGAATCTTGTTCACTCAAAGACTATTCGACATAAAAATAAAAGACAATGGATCTAGTAATGCCAGCCACTGAATTCGCGTTAGAAAGCTTTGGTCTCGATCATTATTTCTTATCAGGGAAAGCTTTAGGATCTCGTGACCCGTCTCAAGAAGTACCTTGGAATCGACTTTCCCTGAAGCATTGATTTTAGATAAGCCAAAACCCATCCTTGCTCCTCTCCTTTGACTGAACTCTGAGATCAAAACCTGAAAAAGAAATGTCATAGGGTACATTAATATGAGCAAAAGAAGAAATAACCTACCAAATGCTCCACTGAGAATCACTAGCTTGCATAACTCGAGCAGAGACTATCTCCAGGATTGCTAAATCAGGCCATATCATCTTCTATCACTTGCCCTCTAGGATTCATCAGCTGATCTTCTGTCTCAGAAAAGTTCCCAAATATCCATATGGCAGGAACGTCTTCTAGGTTTTCAGATAATGAAAATTAAGTTGGCTTGACTTACCGGAGAATCAGAGTGCCTTCTGAACCGTGGACCGTGAGTTATCACGTAGACAGAAGCTTGTTTGACCTGGGAAGTCATTGACAGATAATCTTACAGCACACCTGTTACTCAGCTAATCTGGATATGCACAACAACATTTCTGAACAGAAAGGCATGTCCTCGTCTAGAATATACAGACCTTGCACAACTGTGGACCACCGAAAACGAATGCCAGAAAAACAAGAAGCTGCTAGAAATATCTGTCATATTACAACCGGGCATGATCATCTTTGGATAATCTTAAGCTGGTATCCGACAATAGGCAACGACAGAGCAGAGGCATAACATAAGGACCTAAATCTCAAGTAGCAAACATCACAGGTGTTTATAGAACATACTGGAGTTTGTTACTTGACTTACAGAGAGAAAAGAAGCCGTCTGGACCACAGAAATGTGAGATGTTGCACGCGGAAATTTACCTCCATGAATTCATCAAACAACAACTAACAGCACAAACATTGCAGTTGAACTGGTTTTGATATTGTCCAAGACCATTGGTGAAGATAACAGCATGTTCTTGAGACTTTGCACAAACATGAACCAACACATGCATGCTCAAGAAGAACATGAAGCTTCTACAAATCATTGTCATATCTTTGTATGATCTAACAGCTAATACTGATATAGCTTCTCTTAGTCCAACAATAGGCAACAACAGAGAACATCCTCGAAATGCGAAAGAAACAAAAGAGAAACTGCATTATCAAAACAAACATCTGGATATTCCATTGCATGGAGATTACAATTAGATTGATGATGATGCGTGGATTACCTAACAGTATTGATGAGCCGATGATTTCCCAGTTACCTCCTTTACAACAAGAAGAGCACGTAGAGAGACCAGAAATGGTTTCTGCACTAACAGGGAACCAAAGCTGCTACATTTCCCTTTTTTACAATGACAACTGCATATAAAACTAGGATGCCAACGAAGAACATGAACGAGTTGATACATTTTGGAGAAAAGCTGACACCATTGAAGGCATTTCTGAAGAACCACCTTTCATGTTTCCAGAACCTCAGGAACATTGTATGAGTCTGCTGTTACTTCTTCTGTCAGCCACAACCCGGGAAAAAGCGACTGCAGATGTCGACACAAGGAACAAGCGAGAAACATTCATACTAAGTTGGGCAATGAAAAAACACAGAATCATTTGGTTTTCCGGGCAACTCCTCAGCAACAAAACAATGCATGAATCATGTGTTTAGGAGACAAAAATTCGAAGGACCTACATTCAATTGCTTCTGAACGATCCGAGGTCTCTTCTTGGGTCTCCTCGGAGGTCGTTTCCCGATCATGGCGGCGAAATCCTCTTCGATTTCCTCTCTCAACAAAGGAACCGAGAACTTCAGTTTTCCATTCTTCTCCCTGTAGACATCGCCGTCACCGTCGCCACCTCTCTTCGCGCCACTCTCATGTCTCCCCGGAGAATCACCGATCCTCGCCGCTTCATCCCTCGGTTCATAGCACGCCGACCTCCTCGTCCTCAGATTCCACGGCCGAGCCGCCGCGACGCTGCCGTTCCTCGCTCCGCCATCAAATCCTTCGCCGATAACTGAGACCTTCACTTTCGGGTCAAGCCGGAAAGCGAGTCCCGCCTTTCCGTTGTCGACACCGACCTCCCCGCCGGAACCAAATCTCCGACAGGAATCCATCGCCGTGACTCCAGCGGCAGCGGCGGAATATCTCTGAGCAGCGCGATCGGGAGATGGAGAAGAGGAAGAAGAAGGAAACGGAGGAGGAGACCGGTGGTGAGGAAGCTTGACGCAGCGGAGGAATCTCTGCTGTCCCCACCGGAGATAAGGCAAGGTAAAATTATGGAGGCGTTTGGATCTGTCCGGCGGAGGAGGCGGCGGAGGAGGAGGCGGAGGAGGAGATTCCATTGAAGGATCTCTGAGTTTCTTCCTGGCTTGGTATTGTTCGTTCTTCTCTTCTTGAAGGTTTCGTGAGCTTCGAGCAGTTCAAAGTTTTGCATATTTATTCCCAACAAAAAAAAAAGGGGAAAAATAAAATAAAATAAAATAACGAATTATCGGAGACGAGAGATTGTAACGTAGAGCTCAGAGTTTTGGTAGGCTTTTTTCTAGTAGAAATTTAGGAAAGGAAAAGAAACCGTTTTTTTAAAAAAAAGTTTTTTTTGTAATAAAATAAAAAAAATAGTAAATTAAATAAAACATAAGTTCTTACAACTTATTTAAAACGAGAGATAATATTGGTCAAATTCTGGATCAGAATTAACCAAACCAAATGGAATAAGATAATATTGTAGTTATAATTTTTCTAAATTTTAAAACTAAAAGAGAACCAAATAAAAAAAATAAAAAATTTCTTTGAAAAATAAATTTTTTATTAATAAAAATTTAAATCCGAGTTGAGTAAAAAAAACTTTAATCGAAATTAATTTAACAACTGAGTTGTTATAATTTTTAATAATAGAATTCAAATATAATTGAATCGAATCCAAGGTTAAAATTCGAAATGGTCACATCTAACCCGGAAGAAGCTTAACTAATAATTGAGATTTGGTATATCAACTATTTGTTTTTTTAGTAAGGACCAAATTTGATTAGGCAATGATCAAGGTTGAAGATTATTTAATACGAAAGTTGGACCGTCATATTTTCATATTAAAAAGCCTAAAATGCATTAGAAGACACAGATTACAGATTATTATTATTAGGGAAAATAACATAAACCCACACAGATTGTTCCAAATCTATAAAATTAGTACATCAATTTTTAATTTGATAAAATCCCACACTCGATTTCAAATTTTCCCGATTTTCATCATAGATTGTTGTTAAAATTTCTAATTACCACCACAAAGGGAATTTACCGTCCACATCAGCGTCTGATGGCTGATGTGGCGTGACACATCCTAAAAACTGCCACCTCAGATGACACATAATCTGACATGTCAACAACTCAGGTTATTGAAATTGGTTCATTTAATCGAATCGGTTAAGTGAAACCCGATTTTTTTTTTTTTTTAAAAATGAGATTTAGGGTTTCGATTCGACGTGGTTCCTGGTGGTCTTGGTGGTTGCTCCGACGTGGTTTCTGGTGGTCTCGGTGGTTCGACTCCATCAGACAAATCATATGCCGAAATTCAACTCCAACATCATAACATAACGATTGCGTATTTTCTTTTGGTACAACCAAACACCCAAATTCCCAACTCCAATTCGAACAATACCCAGATAATGATTTCACCATTATATATATATATATATATTTTCTTAGAAAGTAAAATAACTGACCAAGTTCGACAAAAACATGAAAAGTGGAAAGAGTCAATGGAAAAATCATCTCGGCCACCGCCATTAACAAGATTCTAACAATCTTTTTTTTAGATCTAAGATTAACAAAATCTAACTTAAAATCAGTGAACTAAACATCATCCTAGGACAAAATCCGGGTTCACTGCATGCCACTATCCGTTCCGTTCCAAGTTGAGAACTCTCCTTCCTGAAAACAGAAGAGCAAAACCCAAATAAAAAACAAAACATTTAAGCAAACGATGAAATAACGCGACACCCACTTGACAAGATTTTGTAAAGAGAAATGAAAAAAAAAGTACATGAGTGAATAAATCTCTCCACACTGATCTTATGAGCTTTCTTGGATCCAACATGGTCTCTCTTGAAGCCCAGCAGCCCCTTCCACCTTCCCTTTGACGAAGAAGAAAGAGAAATGAAGAAGACGACAATGGCGGAGGCCTAAGTGTGAAGCCATGGCCTTCGGAATCCTCTTCCTCGATCAAAAGCAGGAGCGAACCACCGAGACGACCAGGAACCACGCCAGAGCAACATCGACACGAGTCGGAGTCACGCCGGAGTTCGTCTCACCAGAGGAGAGGAGAGGAGAGAAATTCTGAATGTGAGATTGTAATTTAGGGCTTCGAAACCCTAAATCCCAATTTTTTTAAAAAAAAAAATCGATTTTTAACCGATTCGATTAAATGAACCAATTTTAATAACCTAAGTTGTTGACATGTCAACACCATATCAGCCACATCAGACGCTGATATGGCACGGTAAATTCCCTTTATGGTGGTAATTGGAAATTTTAAAAACAACTAGGCCAGGACCCGCGCGATGTGCGGGTGGTTATTGATTTTATGTATGTACTAATTTATTAGAATTTACTTTATTATAATAATATGTGTATAATTATTTACTTACTCGAGGATAACAATCGTAAATTTGATCTTTGTATCGTGAATACAACTCCAACAATATTTGCAACATGAGAGAATATAATGAATATCATATATAGGGGTGAGTGTTTCATGATTTAGTTTAGGATATGTTTATTCGGTATTAGAAATTTTGTATCCAAAGTAGTATCGTATATTATTTGGTTTGGTATTTTGAGGGTTCAGGACGGTACGGTAGTAATAAATAAAAACCAAATAAGAACCGGGGAAAAAACGGTTCGGTACGGTTTATGATATATTTATAATTCATATATAATAAAAATGTAAAGAGATCTAACATAATAATTTTATACAACAAAACAAAAGTTGTGTACTTATAAACTTGGGGAAAAAATCAAAATTAACCTCGATACATTACATAAACAAACTCTTAATATTAGTAATAGACTACAAATATTAACTTTTTTATATAAAAATTTTATATACCGAAATACCGTTTGGTTTTTTCCGAACCGAATCGAACCGTTCCCGAACCATTCGGTATTTCAAATATCGTACCGTGTGAGATTTGTATATAATAACGAAATGGCCCGAAACTGAATTAATCGGTTCGTTACAGTTCGGGACCAGATTGCCGAACTGAATTGCACATCCCTAATCATATATATACATATATCCTATTTCTCTTATCTTCGTATGAACTGAACAAAATGATGTGTAGCCATTCCGAATTAAAGACTAACTAAAATAAAAAACTGAAAACCGGAATCAATCTTACCAAGAATAGAACATAACAAATGCTAAATTAATATGAATATACAAATCCAACACAAATATGATGGTCTAATACATTGATTGGTAGGTGGAAACCTTAAAGAAGTAGCTTTACCCATCATCCATTTGGCAAAACTACGAAACTTGAACTCAATTCATGCAGTAGTCAAAGTAGGTATCCAGGGAACAGGAGGAAAAAAATAACCTGACAATGAACGATTGGCTACAGTTGTGGCGATGCAACTTTTCCGATGGATCAGTTGGTGCACACTCCAAAAATTTCTGGGTCATTGCATTCTCTGGAAAATTTTAAATTTCGTAAAACTTTTAGATTAAAGATAAGGACCTATTTTTCAACAACCAAATATACATGCGTGTATTCTCATAAATCTACATATTTCAGACACATTTCAACTTCATGTTCTACGATAATATTTGTTTCAATTATAAATATTGTATTATATGTACTATTTTACAATTTTAGTATGTAATATAGCTTATAACCTCAATTATTTGTAATATATATATATATATATATATATATACATTTCATTGTACATATAATTTTAAAATAAAAACTTGATATTAAAATAAATAATCAAACACAAAAGCAAACAATATATTTATTCAATAAATATACAATATACATATATATACTTAAAGTCAGCATGATATTTAATCTAATAATTACGACATTTATATATTAGTTTTTATTTTAGAATATTATTGTTACAATGGTTTAGTGTTGTTACAAATTATTTGTTCCACTCTTTTTGTAGAATATATATTTGATAAAGATTAAAATATAGTATTTATTTTAAACCATTATTACAATGGTTTGGTGATGTAACAAAATAATTATTCCACCCGATCTATATAACATATATTTGATAAAGGTAAAATATAATATTTATCATAATCTATTATATTGTTAAAACATATACATAGATGCTTCACTGGAAACCTTGACGCCCTAGGCAAAAATTAGAAAATAATTTTTGTTGTATAATTATCGTCGATCATCTTTGGATTTACATCTGTAACGACTAAGAAATTTTTTTTGGCATTCAATCTGTGCATTTGTGAACAGAGATTTGTTGCGAGATTATCCTATATGGATAGTTTGATGATATTGTTGTTCAGTTTTATATCGAATTCACATGTTAGTATGTATAAATGTAATAAGATAAAGTTTTTTAATTGGCTTTACTTGCGGTGTAAACAAATGGTAAACTTACCCTTCCAATAATAAAGGGAGAATAATCTTCTGACTTGACGTCGACTTTCGTACGTTTGATGCTTGAATTAAGAGTAATACTCCAATAATATCTGCAAGATGAGAGAATATGATTAATAGATAAATATCAATATTATGATTTTTAAATGATGTACACACATATAAAAAAATGTCATTTGTATAAATATGGTACACATATTTATACTAAGATGTTCAATTTATTTTATATCAATTAATTTTAAATATTTTCTTGGCAAACAATGATGAATATGAGATTCTTATAATTTATCCTAACCTTATGGTGTTGGTAGTCCATTGAAGATTTCTCTGTAAACGATGTTAGTGATGCTACGTTTGTCATCTGAGTGTTCCGTAGTATCTAGGATTTTTAATCCTGTTGCAGAAGTAACACGGGAGATAGCAACATACAATTGACAATGGGTAAAGACCGGACGTGGGAGATATAAGGCTACTTGTTTCAGACTTTGTCCCTGGATTTTGTTTATTGTCATTGCGTAGCATAGTCTTATTGGAAATTGCCTTCTTCGCAAGGTGAATGGATGCTTTGAATCTGTTGGTGACAGAATAATTCTTGGAATAAGGACCTTTTCCCCGAAGTTTGGTCCTGTCATAATTTCTGCCTCCAAAACTCTTTTCCCTAACTGAGTTGTTATTACTCGTGTCCCATTGCAAAGTCCTTTTTTTATTCATGTTTCTTAGCATCATCATCGGCGCTCTAACTTTCAAATGTAGGCGATAACTCGATAATCCAGGGAATTCTAGGGAGTTTAGATATTCGACGGGG